TACTGTTGGAGTCAGCACTGTCTTCTGCTGTAACAACATCACTGTTGGAGTCAACACTTTCTTCTGCTGTACCAACATCACTGTTAGAGACAGCACTTTCTTCTGCTGTACCAACATCACTGTTGGAGTCAGCACTTTCATCTGTTTTAACCAACGTCATTTCTTGCTGTCTTTTCAACATTTTCAAATACACACTGTTTTTAACTTTAAAAATTCTTTAAAAGTGCTAAAGACAAATTTTATGTTTCAACTATACCATCTGAATTTAATATTGATGTTATTGTGGTATTTTCCTTCTTAATTGAGGTTACATTCTTGATCAAGTTGAATGGCAATCAAAACTAAAGAATTTCTAAATAAATTATGAGCAAATAGATGCTCACCACATAATGCATTATTACCAAACGTAAAGATAGTTTCTACTTTTCGAGAAATCATATTTAATGCTGATGTACTGTTCATTAAACTTTCTTCAAAAAATGATAAAACAAAAAAATTAGTTGCAAATCCCTACTAAAATTAGATAAGGTTTATCATTTTAAAACATGAAGCTTATAAAAGTTCCACTGAAAAGTTATCTTCAAAAATCAGCTAAAAAGGAATAGCGTGAAGTCACAAAATTTTGACAAATCGTCAAATGAAGCAAAAGAAAGACCTACAAGTGGATAAGTAGTTATTGATACAAAACAAACTTATTGGGTTGAAAATCAGTTATTTATCAAGAGCAGAGAAATACTTGATACTATACCATTATCATAAGATAAGTTTAAGGTAAACATAGCTAAATATTTTAGAAATATTTGTTTATCTGAATGAAAGTAGTTTTTTTTTCAGTCTTCAATATAAACACTGTTTCACTATTTTTTATTAAAATGAAAAAATAAAAAGTAATTTGTAATGTGCGTACAAATTTGAAACATGCATTTGTAGGTTCATAATTTTGTGAAGTATTCTTCTAAATCCCAACAAAAGGAGTTTACAGAATTAAAGGTTTGTTTACAAGTTGACAAAAGTCAAGTCTACAAATGTAAATAAACGAGTGGGTTAGAATTAATAGTTTATCGTATATGGTTGGAATTAATCTAACAAAATATTTATATTCTTGAAGAAAAAAAAAGGTTTCCACACTTAAAATATAATACTAAATATTCAGTCTCTTTACAAAGAGATAAGATTTATACAGGTATGAGTTCCACAATTAAAATATAATACTATTTACATAGAAATCTCTTTACAGAGTTAAAATGTATTCTGGTATAAGTTCCACATTTGAAATATAATACTACCTATATATATCATATATACATACACAAGACTCTTTACAGAAGATTAAGATGTGTACTGGTACGAGTCCTCCATTTGAAACATAACACCACCTACAAAGAGATCTCTTTATAGAGTTAAGATTTATACTGGTATAAGTCCCACATTTAAAATATAATACTACATATACACAGGTCTTCTTAAAAAGTTAAAATTTATATTGGTATAAGTCCCACATTTGAAATATGATACTACATATATACAGGTCTCTTTACAGAATTAAAATTTATAGCAATGTGAGTTCCACATATAAGTCTTTTGAAAGAGATCAAGTTAAGGTTTATACTGATGCAAATTCCACAGTTATAGTATAATGTCATAATATTATATGTACAAGTCTCTTCACATAGAGTGTATGTTTAAACTGGTATGAGTTCCACATTAGTTTCTTCAAAGGTAAATGTGATTATTGCATTTACACGGTATCTTAGTTCAGGCTAACTTTAGTGACAAAATTCCATTAAATGTGTCTTTTTTATTGTACATAAATATATTTCTTTTTAGAATATCACCTACAATTTTAACTTGGAAAAATAATAATTTTGTCTTTATATTGTTACGTCTCCGTTTGTTAGTTAATTTTCCGTAAATTCGTTCTGACGAAACTTTAGCGACACAAGTCCTTTCTTAAATAAAACTGGTTTATTCTTTCCAAATACAACTTTACGATACACTTAATTTAAACATTCGCTCTATAACAAACACTATAATTCACATCTCACGTGGCCAACAATATTTTGTCCGCATACATTCAATTACTCATTACCTTGTTGCGTCACATTGTGAGCATCTTATATATACCAGACTACCCCCAATCTAGTAGTCTCCTGATAATTCATGAGGGTTCGAGGAGTGGCGTGATACTAGTCACGTGACCTCGCTGACGCAACAATATAAAAGTATCTTTAATCAATAAATATGTTGAATCATAAAAAGGGAATAATTATGTAGTTTAACACTTATTATAGATAAAATAAAAACAATCTAAAATACTAAAATTAATTTCTTTTCTTTTTATGTTTAGCAAGTTTAGATGATTGATGTTAATTTCATCCTTATCACCATGTTAAACCTATTGCTACAGGTCACGTGTTAACTTGCATTCAAAATTTTATTATACTACTATTTTATGAATCTATGTCAATAAGTTTGGAATCAAACTGTAGATTATACTTCAAATTTTAGTGTTATACATTAGTTAATTTCTTACTTCAAAAGTAAATATTAAAAAAACACAACTAAACATCGATTTTTGTGTGTCACATAGAATGTTGAATGCAGCACTGGTTCAAATTAGATGTTTGCGATGTCAAAACACAAAATATATAGTTTTGTATGAATTAAGAACTCAAACTACTGATATTGACAAGCTAGAATATAAAATAAGAACCTCTTACCTTTTCTTTTTGCTAAGATGTTGCTCCTGAACTGAATCAAACATAGTGCCCCCCCCCCTGCCCACCTCTTTCCATTTTTGGAAACGGTTCCTTTATACACTTATATTTGACATGAATAACCAATCAAAAGCTCAGAATATCCCCCTAGTGATTTTTCTCAGCCATTTTGACATTTTTTGTGCTAATTTCGTTCTTCTCACACAGGAGTTCAAACGATGAAGAAATTTCATATTTTTTAGACCCAAATACAGCTTAGTTACTACACTTGATAAATTATAGTGGAATTCTATGGTAAAGATATAGTAATTTATGATTTTTTGGTTATTTAAAATGTATATATAAAACCTAAAAAAAATTTTCTTTTCACATCCTCCATGTGGGAAATTTCATAAGACTTAGCAACCTACGACAAGCGGCACATGAGTAAAAAGGTCATA